CCTAAACCCCAAAACCCAAAACCCTCAAGCCCTAAACCGCCTCCTGGGTCTCTGGGAGGATGGCTTTGCTCGTCTCCGGCAAGACGGCTTTGCTCATTTCGGCAGGGGTCTGATTCCTGGGTTCTTGTTAAGGAAAGTGATTTGGCAAGGAAACCAGACTAGGTGTTATTTACTAAAGATGCGCAGACTGTTAACTCTACACTACAAAACATACTAGTTATCTTTTACTATAGACTCCTTATTATGGTAAGACTAAACCCCTCAACCCTAAACCCTAAAGTAAAACTCCAAAGCAGGAGCCCAGATTCTGGATGTTCAGCTGGTTCTCCTTGTCCTGGCCGGGCTCAGGGTTCAGGGCTGACAAGGGCTGAGATGCCCAAACCGAAACCCTAAAGAACCTAAGCTCCTTATGCAAGCTCCATAACAGCCAACTCCCGAAAACCTAGGCCAGGCACAAAGCCCCCAGATAGAATGAAACCTACGCAAAAAAAAAAAACAAACAAACAACAACCCTAAACCTTCATAGAATCCACCCTACCAGACAACAAAAACAAACAACCCTAAACCCTAAACCCTAAAACCTCAACCCTGAACCCTCAACCCTGAACCAACTACAGGCCCGGTCCTGAGTGCATGCTGGCTCCTCTGAGAGAGGTTCCTGTGCCAGACGGAAACTTCGGGCCCTTAGCCCTAAACCCTCAACCCTGAACCCTAAACCGTGAACCCTAAACCCTAAACCCTAAACCCCTAACCCGTAAACCCTAAACCCTAAACCCTGAACCCTAAGCCGTAAACCTTAAGCCCCGAACCCTAAACCCTAAACCTTAAACCCTAAACCCTAAAACCCTAACCCAAAACCCTGAACCCTCCTGTGCCACACGGAAGCTCAGGGGCGAAGCCAAACTGTCTCGAGCTCGGGGAGTCGATGGCTCCTTCGAACCAGCGCTGGCCTCAGTCCTGGTACTGCTACCGTTTGCTGCAATTACTACTACCAATACGAACGTTACTACTACTATTAATATTGCTATTGCTATTGCTATTGCTATTGCTATTGCTATTGCTATTGCTATTGCTATTGCTACTGCTACTGCTACTGCTACTGCTACTGCTACTGCTACTGCTACTGCTACTGCTACTGCTACTGCTGCTGCTGCTCCTACTGCCCTTCTTGGACGTTTTGGGCTTGGGGCTTCGGGGTTAGGAGCGTAGGGTTGAGGGATCGGGGGTTCAGGGCTTACGCCCTAAACCCTAAACCCAAAACCCCTGCACCCTAAACCCCTAACCCGTAAACCCTAAACCCTAAACCCTAAGCCCTAAACCCTAAGCCCTAAGCCCTAAGCCCTAAGCCCTAAACGCTGCACCCCTGGACCCCCGGAGCCCTGGACCCTGAACTCTGACTCCCTCAACCCGTTCCGGGGTTTCATTATCTTGAGGAACGAGAGGTCCTAAGTCTCATAATAGGTTACTTAAAGGATCATGGGACTTAGTAACTAAGGTTATTATGAAGGTAACCATACTTATAACTTATAACTACTTATAACCCCAATTACAGTACTTATAACCATACTTACTAAGTCCCATGATCCTCCAAGTAGGAGGGATTCCAAACTCATGAGCCATCCACCCGGAATCTTGGACCCAAACTCGAGAACCAACACCCTCAGGCTCCCTGTTACCTAGAGGGACAGACTTCGGCCTTAAGGTACCTATGTAGGAACCCCTGTAGGCCTCAGTATATACCCTAACCCTCCAGGTACATACTATATAGGGCCCTAGGGGCTCCAGTACCCTATGTATATAGTAGGTACCTGGGGGGGTTAGGGATACTATATGGGCACATGGAGCCCTTGAAACCTAGACCCTGAAAGGAGGTTTGGGGACAGTTTTTGCACCAGCGGTCCCGATCGCCGGCGTCGAGCCCTGGGGTGCATGAGACTGGGAGGCCATGACCCGTCGAAGGTCCTGGGACTTGTTTTCGTGCTTCTTGAAGTGTATAGGGCTCATAAGGATTTTGCCAAACCTCGACCCTGAACCATAAGAGTATAGGGCTCATAGGGATCTTGCCAACCCTAAACCCTAAGCCCGAAGGGTATAGGGCTTGTAGGGATTCTGCCAACCCTAAACCCAAAACCAGAAGGGTATAAGGCTTGTAGGGATTATGCTTATCGGGTTACATGTGTAGGCTGGGGCTCAAAAGGCTTACAAAGGGGGATTAGGGACTGTAGGGCTTCTAGGGCTCATAAGGCTTGTCGGGTTTATGAGGTGTATAGGGTCTATAACCCAGGGCTCCAAGTATACAACTAGCACCTACTTTGGGGTCTAAAGTCTATAGATAGTACCTACTTTGGGCTATTTGGAGCTCCAGGGTATGGGGCTGATCGAAACCAGGTTTAACGGGTTGCATGTCAGGGAGTTTCAGAAAATAGGGGACCCTGATATAGGACCCTAAATAGTAGGATCCTTATTATAAGGACCCCTAAATAGGGTACCCTAGTTTTCTGAAACTACCATGTGGGTGGTTGTCAAAATTAGGGTCCCTTTTTGGGTACCTTAGATAATTGGTGCCGTATTATAATAAGGACCCCAAAAAGGGACCATAATTTTGACAACCCTATAACCCTGAAGCCCCAAACCCTAAAACCCTAA